TGCCTCCTTGCCTCCATCGGGAAATACTTTGCTGCACCAATGAAAATTCAACGAGACTGGCCAAGCAAAAGAAACTGATGACACCGGAAGGCAGTAACAGAGCAGGAGACAATTGGGGACAATTAGGGGAGAGGCCGAACCAAAGAATTGGCGGCAACGGAAGGCAGCAACAAGGGACAGCCGGGAACAAGGTCGAACGCCAGGCCAAAGAAAATGGCGGCGACGGAAGGCAGCAGCAGAGACAGGGGACAGACGGGGACAAGCTGGAACGCCAAACCAACTAATTTAGCGACAACGGAAGGCAGCAACAGGGCCAGGAACAGCCGTAGGCACTTGGGGCCAAGGCCGAACCAAGGCCAAGGCCAGGGACAATCGGGAACATTCGGGGGTCGGGTCACACCAAAGAAATGTTTACAGCGACCGAGGACAGAACCAGGCCAGGATAGCCAAGGACACCTGGGACAAGGCGAGACGAAAGAGACTGGAAGCAACCGAGGGCAGCAGAAAGGCTGGGGACAGTTGGACACAAGGCCGAACTAAGGACACGAGTGGTGTCCGCAAGACGAAGCGCCAGAGCATCGGAGTCCTCCTGCTCGCGAGGACGGTGGACATCAAGAAGCCCCAATGACTTCGCAGAAAAAAAGTCCCCAGAAAATGTTTTCTGGACGCCAGGGCCCCAGCCAGAGCCGGATCACTCTTCACTCTGAGACGCCTTTGACGGCCCCAGGGCATTGCAAGGGCACCGAGATGCCGAAAACGGAGAAACAGCCATAACATGCTTTCTTGCATGGCAAAATTCTCTGGGGGTTCACTTTGGCAACGAGAAGCCTCCTGCAGGCCCGACAAAGCAGAAAAACGCACAGAAGCAGCAATCCTCGATAGTCGACCCAGACAGACTCGAAGGACAGAGAGGGAAGCTTAGTAAGAGGAGAAGGCCGCAACTTGGGGCAGCCGAACGCTCGCGCCGCATTGACGGCGGTGGGAAGCGTAGGAGAAGAAAGAGGAGGGACGGACGGACGGAGGAGAGAATGGGATGGGAGGGGACGAGAGAGGTAGAGAGGAAACGTACGGAGGTGCAAAGGGAAAGTAGTAGAGGACGAAGGAAAGCCATGGAGGAGAGTAGGAGGGATCAGAAGGGATGGAGGATGAAGAGAGGGTAGGAAGGGAAAGGAGGGGAAGGAGGCGCCCGAAATGACGCCAGGGAGAAGAAGAGCGAATGAGGGAGGCCGGGAGATGAGGGCAGAGGGGAGGAGCAGCAGCAAAGGTAAGGCAGCCAGGAAGGCGACAGCGAGAAATCCGCCGGCCCGCTTCGGGGCCAACAGGCTGCGAGGCGTTGATATTCCGATGCCCTGCAACGGTTTCAGTTCCCAGTGGTATAGCTGAAGATGCTCTGTTTCGTACTTCGACCGTTGTAGTGAAGACAGCGCGAGGGGGGGAGCCCGAAAATCGGCCGATCCCCCTCCCAAGGTCGGTTGCCTTAATTTCTGGGGGTGCCATGGGACACGTAGAAATACAATCAGGCTCGCGCTCCCGACGCTGCAATCCGTAGCAAATTGCGCCAAGCTCGCGCTCCCTAAGCCACTATCCTCGAAAATTACCCCCAGGTCGTACTCAATACGCCACCATCCCTCATAAAATACGACTGGTTCGCGTCCCCGAGGCCACAATCCCTTGTAAAGTACACCCAGTTCCCCCCGCAAGCCACAAGCGAAAGCGAAAGCGAAGGTCCTATCGAGCGCCCAAGGAGTCTCATCCCGCTTGCGGGAACGGCGTGCTTCATGCAGAAAGAGGAACGCGTGCAACGGAAAAATGAAACTGGTGATCACACCCTTCGTGCATTGCTGCATTGCTACACAAGCGCTCGCATGTACGATTGAATCGGCCCACTTCGTTCTTGGACGGCCGAGAGTCTACGCGAACCGTCTGGACGCCAGCGCAAAGCTAGAGATGACCACCCGTGCCTCTCGGCGCAGATTCTACACATGACTTTCCAACGACTGGTGCCCACTACCTCGAGTCAGTTCGGCACTCAATAAATGGTCATTGCTCGTTCTACTCTGCGCTTACATTGACGCTTAGCCTCCTCCCGAGACTCGTGATCAGCCTTGCGAGACCCAATGACACGTCGTAGTACTTGCGCCTGGAAGCTTGATAGTATTACTCTCTGTCGTGTCGTCAACAGTGTTGTGGCCAGACTGTACACGATTCGCGCCGCCGACGCCAAATCCCTGGTAAACTACAAGAGGTTCGCGCTCCCAAGGCCACAGTCCCTAGTAAAGTACGCCACGCTCGCGCTCCCGACGCCACAATCCCTTATAAGTTACACTTGTTTCGCGCTCCCAAAGCCCACAACCCCACATAAAGTACAACAAGCTTGTGCTTCCGAAGCCACAGGTCATTGTGAAGTACTACGCGTTGGCGTTCTCGAGGCCACAATCCTTCTTGTATGTAACCTACACAATACTTGCGCCCCCGAGGCCACAATCCTTGTGTAACTTACGACATACAATTTCCTAAGCACTGGCGCTCCCAAGGCCTGTAAGACTGCTACAGACTCGCGCCCCCGAGGCCACAATGCCTTGTCAATTGCAAGATGATTGCGCCCCGAAACCACATCCTTAGCACACTACTACGCGCGAGCGCTCCCGACGCCAAGACCCACGGAGTCCGCCCCAAAAACGTCACCCCTGTCCAGAGAAGAAAAGCTGACGTTGTCTGTACTGTGAGATGCTCTCGGACGACAGCTTTCAGCCCCCCCCGTCGCTTGCTGAAAATTCGGCTCAGAGCTGGAGGCCACGAACCATCGCAAAAAGATAAGGGTGCACACTCCCGAAGCCTCGAACACCCGTAGGTTACAGCGAAGCGCGCTCCCGAGGCCACCATCCCTCATTAACTGTTAGATACGCGCGCAAGCAGCCAGGCAGCAAGCAGCCCAAATCAATTGCAGCGTATCTGTTCAGACAACAAGCCAGTCATCCGAGCTGCAAGCCAGCCAACCGACAAGAAAACCAATCAACCTACCAACCAAGCGTGGCCACGCGAGCTATCTGAGAGGGGCTGGCGGCAGGGGGCGAACCCCTCCATAGCCCACCAGCCCTCTGGGCTTAGGTGGTATAACGCGTTTTTGTTCTTCTCTCTTCCACTGAAACCCTCCACAATTACTCAATATGAATACTACTCTCCCTCTTCCCCTGATGACGGCTTGAAAGTGTTAGCCCCCCCCCGCGTATTGTTTTTTTACACACCTGATTCCCCGGAGTTGGGTTGTCGCCTGCATTTGTTTCCAAAATGCTGCTCTCGCTGAGGTGCCGGCCTCATTTTCGGGCCCCGCTCGTTCCGAATCGTGCTCCCGCTGCAGCGCTGGCCTCATTTCCGTGCTTCCGCTCGTTCCGAATCGTGCTCCCGCTGCAGCGCTGGCCTCATTTCCGCGCTTCCGCTCGTTCCGACTCGCGTTCCCGCTGCAGCGCTGGCCTCATTTCCCGTACCATGCCACGGCATGCAATGCAATGCTAGGTTGATACTACGCTTTGCGGTGCTCTTCTACGCCATGCCATGCCGTGCTCTACAATGCATCGCGTACCCTTTCGGGATCATTGCCTTGCTCGACATCCGACTGTGCGAGTTGAGAGGGGATCTACGCCATGGTAAGGGATGGGAGGGAGGGGTAGGATGACAGATATGACGCGAGCGCACCTAGCTTGCCCTACCCCCTCCCCTGGGCCTGGACGGGGCGCGCCGCGCAGCGTTAGAGCGTCCAAGATGGCCCAAGATTGCTCCAAGAGGCGTTCAAAGTCGCAAGATGGCCTCCAAGATGGCCCATGTTACTTCAAGATGGGTCAAGATAGCCTCCGACATACCCCCAAATGGCCCCAGGACAGGCCCAAGACGGATCCAAGTGCCCTTCGAGCCCTCCACGGCGCTCTCCAAGATGCCAAAACCCTTCAAAAGCCTAGGGAAAATCCATGTGTTTGGCATTCTCGCCTTTTCGCGTCCGATGTGCTTTGGGAGCCTCAAGATGGCACCATGATGGCCCAAAAGGGCCCCAAGAGGGGCCCAAGAAGGCCGAAGACGGCCCCAAGATCGCCCAAGAGGCGCCTAAGAGCGCTCCAAGACGGCCCCAAGACGCCGTTTGAGAGCCTCCGAGGGGGGGATCCTAATTGAGGAACCTCCTCTTTTTGAGACATGGGGCCCAAGATGGCCCCAAGAGGCCTCCCAGCCTCCCCCAAAGACCCTTCACCCCGCCCTTTTTGGCCCAGGATGGCGCCAAGAGAGCCCTAGATAGCCCAAGATGGCCTTCAAATTGCCTAAGATAGCCAAGCATTGCTCAAGATAGCCTCCGACAGACCTCCAAGAGGCCTCAAGGCAGCCTCACGATGGCCCAAGATAGCCGAGCATGGCTCAAGATAGCCTCCGACAGCCTCTAGCCGAGCATGGCTCAAGATAGCCTCCAAATAGGCCTCAAGAAAACTGGCAATCAATTCTGGATGGGCTGGTGGTTGTCGCGGCCGCAAGCGAAAGCGCAGGAGGCATCCGAAAAGGTCGGGCGGGCTACGCGCGAGCCTAATTATACAGCGACCGAGCGCGGGATCAGAACCTACCGCCGGGTGGGCAGCTGGCTGAAGCTGAGCTGGGGCACCAGGGGTGAGGACTGCAAGCGGCCAGGGCTGCATGCTGCACACGTGCGAGACCCAGATGGAGCATCAGGGTGAATTGAACCTGTACGCCAGGAGACGTCGTGGTCTGGGCTGCAGGATACCGATCATGCGTCAGACCAGCGAGAGCTGGTGGGGGTACGCGAAGCGTCAATAACATTTTCCAAGACAAGAACGGCACAGACATGAACTTTCGGAGGTCCGCGCGGCCTTCTTGGGTCGACGCTGGACCTCCTCGCCACACCCCTGGCGGCACCTTCGGCGAGGCCCTGCGCGCTTCGCACGCATATGAATGGGTGGGCGCCGACCCAAGATATTTGCGCGGACAGTCGAAATATCGTGTTTATGCCGTTTTCGGTTCTCGAGCAACGGCCGCCCTTTTCACCTAGCCGTCGTGGCGTAATAGATGTATTGGCATTGGACCTAGCACCGAAACACAAGATACAGAAAGCCGCCCTGGGCAACGGCCATCCTGCTTGAAATGCTGGCAGCCCCGCGCTGTTGGCCTGACCCCGCTCTTGTGGATCACCGCATCTTGATCAGCTCATCCCCCGCCTCCTCCGATTCACCTCCAGTTTTCTTCCTGGAAACATTCGAACCAATCAACCGCCGTATCTCACCTCAGCGCGGCTAGGCGAAGGGTGGGACGGAGGACGGTCAGCAAACCCAAGAAGCTGCACGAGCCAACCTGCCGTAGGCGAGCTGACGCGATGAAAAGTGGTTCGGGGAGCGAAGCGAAGCGCGCCGAACGCGTGTTGTGACCCGAGACCCAATCGGCAATTGGTGTCCCACAGAAGAGCCTGGATGGGGGAGGGACGGTGAGGGAGCAAACAAAGTGGACTAGTTCCTTTGAGACCTCGCGAGACTGGCGCGCAAAGGAGGATCTGGGAGCTGCAAGCGGCGAACGATGCACCTCAATGTGCAGGCACTAGAACGGCGAGTGACCAGACCCCAGCCGCTATTTATCGTGGTCCATCAGAAAAGCGACAAAAGTATGATCCAACATAGTTTGTAGTCAAGCGCCGAAAGTTCGACGGAGAGGAAGAAACGTGGGAGGGAGGAAGAGGCACACGAAAGCGCATACTCACCAGCAGTGGGTTGATGAGAAAATTGCAGGAGAAGCGGGACTCGACAGGGGAACGCAAGCGGCGCGACAGTAGAAACGCTGGAAGTCTAAAAACAGCGATTTAGTTGCATCTGCATACACCTACAGATCCGCCGACCGTGTCGGCGTGTGGGAGAGGCTTTTCCGTCTTCCCCACAGCGTCGTCGCCTCATCTGCTTTCTGAGGGCACCCTACACAAGTCCACATAAAAATTGAACAACGTCGTCCTTCAGTCGAAGGGAAGCCCCTTCCCTTGATACCCTGCCCGCCGGAGGGGGGGGGTCCCCGGGCAACTCCCGGTGGGGGTCCCCCCCAACTCCCGGGGGGAGGTCCCCCCCAACTCCCGGGAGGGGGGTCCCCCTCCGATACACAGCCCCCCGCCTCTCATCCTCCTGCGTCCTGGGGCTCCGTTGGCCCTCCAGGGCCGTCTGCGGGCCCTTTGATCCCTTGCCCACCGGGGCAAAGGGGGTCACGAAGCAACTCCCGGGGGGGGTCCCCCCTCCGATACGCAGCCCCCCGCCTCTCATCCTCCTGCGTCCTGGGGCTCCGTTGGCCCTCCGGGGCCGTCTGCGCGCCCTTTCAGCCTATCTTAAGGCTCCTGGAGACCTTTTGCCATTTTTGAATTCTCTTGGCAGCCTCTGGCGGCACTCTTGACAGCCTTTGCGGGAGCTTCACCCTCTCGGGCCACTTGAGGGCTCTCTTTGCCTATCTCGATACTCTCTGGAGCCGTTCCCGAACCCTGGAGGAGGCCTCTTGAGCTGTCTTCGGACGACCTTGCGGGCATCTGGTGCCGTCTTCGAGCCATCTGAGGGCATCTGGGACTCCTCTACCTCCATTGTCTTCGTCGTCGCTGCCTACAGGGTCGGCGGCGTCGGCCGCGAGGCCTTCGCGATATACATATGCGTATACAGATGCATAACCATATACATATGCATATAAACATATATATATATATATATATATGCGTAGACATTTGCACATACATATGCCTATACATAAACAGACACGTATACATGTACATGTACATATACATATGCATACACATATACATATACATATACGTATACATATATAGATGCGTATGCATATACATATACATATACATATACATATACATAAACGTATACATATACATAAACATATACATATACATACACATAGCCATGCCAATATATACATATATATATACATGTACATACACATGTGCATATACATTTGCATGCGCATGCACATATGAATATATATACAATACATATACATACGCATATACATATGCATATACATATACATATACATATACAAATACATATACAGTTACATATACATATACATATGCATAGATACATACACATGCATGTACATATACATATACATATACATATACATATACAATTACATGACATGTACATATACATATTCATATGGACATACATATACATATACATAAACACATACATAAACATGTGCATATATGTATATGTACATATACATATACATATACAAATCATTGTTCATATACATGTATAAACATTTACGATTACACACACCTACGCAAATATATACATACATATGCATACACACATACGTATACATGTACACACACTCAAACATATACAATTACAGTTACATATACACATACCAGTACATATACATATGCATACACATGTACATATGCATGTGTATATATACGTATACATATACATATGCATATGCAGATACATATGCATATGCATATGTATGTATAAGCATGCACCTACATATATATATATATATATATATGTATGAGTATATGCATATACATATACATACGTATACATGTACATGAACATAGACATATGCTTATACATATGCATATACACAAACACAGACATCTATATATGCATATACATACATATATGTACATATACATAAACGTAAGCATAAACATACATATGCGTATGCATATACGTACGCATAAACATAACAATGTACATCAACGGATGTATATACATATACAAACACAACTATATATATATATGCATATACATATAGACATGCCAGAATGCATATACCCATACCTGTGTAAATCCATGTGCATGTACATATACATGTATACGTATACTAAAACTATCGCGCGCGCTTCGCGCGCGCTCAGGTTCTAGCCCAGGCCGGGGGCGCGCCAGAAGATCTTGGACAGCACTATCAAGCACAGGCGCGTGACATAGTCGTGCCTCCTGAGGGCCTCTTGGGAACCTCTTGGGTCTTCGTGGGGGCATCTGAAAGGCTTCTGGGGAGTTCTCCGTGCTTCCTCAATTGGCTGTTGGAGGCACCTCTTGAGTGCTTCTCGGGGGGGCATCTTGGGGCTTCTTGGGGTCCCTTGGGGGCATCGTCAAGGTTCTTCGGACAGTCGGAAAGTGATGTTCTGCAGTCTGACGCAGTCAACTGGCCGTCTTGGCTACGTGGAGGCTCGGCTTGAGGCCACATTGGGGCAATCCGAAGCCTCCCAGGGCCTCCTTGAAGCAATTTTGATCTCGGGCCGTGTACGTCTCCTGTGAGCCTTTTGGGGCCTGGTGGGGGGCTTTGGGGGGCCTCGTCGGACCACTTGGGAACTCTTGGGGCCTCCTGTGGGCCTCTTAGGGCGGAAAGCTCTGCTGTTGGGTTCGCGTTCCCCTTCTTGGGGCTCTCTTGGGGCCATCTTGGGGCCCTCTCGGGCCGTCTTGGGCGTCTCGGGCACAGTCTTGGGGCCCTCGTGGGCCGTCTTGGGGCCCTCTTGGAGGCCTCTTCGGCTATCTTGGAGCGGCCGTAGGGGCCACTTGGGCCGTCTTGGAGCGTCGGGATGCCGAAAGGCTGGGAACTCTAAAATCCATCAAAGGCCGACGGGAAAACAATGCTTCTTGGAACCTCTTCGGCCTTCTGGGGAGCTTCTTGAGGGCCTCTCGGGTCCCATTTGGGGGCCTCTGGGGCTTCCTGAGAACCTCTCGGGGTGGAAGGCTCGGATTTTCGGTTCGTCTTACCCCTCTTGGGCCCCCCTTGGGGCCGTAGTGGTGCCCTCTCGGGCTGTCTTGGGCCCTATTGGAGGCCTCTTGGGCTATCTTGGATTAGTCTTGGAGGCCTTTTGGGCCGTCTTGGAGCGTCAGGACGCCAAAAGGCTGAAAGCTCGAACATCAATCAAAAACCTATGGCACGACATAGATTTTTGCCTCTTGGGGCCTTCGTGGAAGGCCTCTTGAATACTCTTCGACCCCCTGGGGGGCTTCTTGGGGCCTCTTGGAGCCTGTCAGGGGCTTCTCGGGGCAGACTCGGATTTTCGGTTCGTCTCAACCCTCTTGGCTCCATCTTGGGGCCGTCTTGGGGCCCCCTCGGGCCGCCTTGGGCGCCTCTGGCGCCGTCTTGGGACCCCCGTGGGCTGTCTTGTGACCGTCTTCGAGGCCTCTGGGGATGCCTTGGAGCGGAAATAAAGCCTCTTGGGCCGTCGCGGAGCGTCAGGAAACTCAAAGGGCGAGAACTCGAAAATCGATCAAAAACCAAAGGAAAACAAATTAGTTGTGCCTCCTGGGGCTCCTCGGGAGCCATCTTGGAGACCGCTTGGGGCGTCTTGGAGGCCACTTGGACAGTCAGGGACCAATTCTGGGGTGATCTCGGGTGGTCATTGGTCGTTTTCGTTGTCTGGAAACGCCAGGCCCGTCTTCGGGCGACTTTACAAGGCCCCCAGCGCCACTGCAGGGCCCCCGGTCCCCCTGGTGCGAGGGCCCCGTCCCGGGCCACGCCTCGTGCCCGCGGCAGGGTGTCCCTGGGCCGTCTCGGCGCCCTCGTGGGGGCCTGTTGGGGCGACATTGGGTGTCTGAAATCCATCAAAAACGTAAGTATAATCAATGATTTTGGCGTCCCTTTGGGCCGTGTTGGAAGCCTTGTGGGCCGTCCGGAGGCCATCTTGGGCGTGTTCGAACGATAATTATGTCCTCGTTTCGGGGCCTTTTGGGGGCCTCCTGCGGCCCTTTTCGTCTGTGTTGGGGCTTTCTTGCGGCCCTGGGCTGTCTCGGCGCCCTGTTGGAAGCCTGTTTGGAAGATTTCTGGGTGTCCTGGACCGTCCTCCTTCAACGTCGGCGGCACTGGCCGTAAGACTTCCTGGGAACATCATTTGTTGGGGTGTCGTTGGGCGCCTCCGGAGGCTTCGGGGCCTGACGCGTTTCCGAGCGTGGCGGCAGGTAGCGCTGCTTGGGACTCTCGTGTTTTTTTTTTTTTTTATCCTGGCAGGCATTTATAAACATGGTTTGGGGAGAGGGCGGCAACCCGAGAATCATGTTCCCGGGAAGCTTTCTGGGAGCATGATTTGTTCGGCTCTCTTAAGAGGGGGAGCTCTGGGGGCTTACCGAGGTGCCCTTTTTGGCCTTGTCGACAAGCCTATTGCAAACATGGTTGGGGCGGTGGGCGGAAGTCCAAGGAATCATGTTCCCAGAAAGCTCTGGGAAATACGGATACGATTTA